TTGGAAGAAAAAATTCGTTTGAGAAATGAAATGGATGAGGTTAGGGCTTTTTGCGGCTTCAGACTCAACGCCGTCGGAGGAGATTCATTACGCTTCTTCGGCTGCAGGGGACGGTGGCGGCGGCGGCGGTTGTCACCATTGGTTAAAAGAAAGCAGCCGACGTGGAGAATTAGAAGTAAAAGTGCAAGGAATTTGTTGCAGAAGGATCCGGTGGCTGTTGGCGCCATGGAGGCGGCGTGAAAACGGAGGTTTCTTTAGGTTTTAGGCCATTGGAGGCGGCGAGAAGAAGAATATGAAAAGGAAAACAGAGGAGAGATAGGGGAAAAGGCAAAATGCAGAGTGTGGGGGCGACGGAGGAATAAAGCTAATAAACATTAGGTGTAACGCAGCTTCATTCTTCTATTTTTCTCAAATTATATAATTATAATATTTTATTATAATTATCTTATTTTATTAATTGATTTATACATTTTACATTTTTTTAAATTTAAAAATTACTTCATTAATTGACTGACACGTGTCCGCAATCAGAATCCAAAGCCCCTGGATATCAATTTTTATCGCCATTTTTATTTTCAATAATTCCCATCTCGTTTTTATTCCATTTTTAATTAATTTCGTCAATTTCATTATTAAAAAAACAAAAACTAATTCACAATTAAAACCCGTCGACCGTCACCGTTCAGCATGCTTTACACTTTCCTTTGACTTTTTATAAAGTCAAACTACGTGGTCCAATCATAATCTCCAGAAATCAGCCTAAACTTTAGGCCGACGGCACCGTCACAGTGATAAAAGTTTCTGCCAGGTAATTTTCAGAGACTTGAAATAATTATATATTTATAATAAAAATATTCGTTGATTTTCTCGGGTATTATATCGCGAGATATTGGGATGTGTACGGGCTGGTTTACAATAATGCGGATGTGGGCTCCGGCCCATAAAGTAAATGGAAATGGGCCCATGTGATTAAAGAGGTAAATTGGTGTGATTGCCTTTGGATGTGGGCCTTAAAAATCATATATATGGCTTATTAAAATCATCCAAATATTAATTTAAAATTTTCTATTTGGATTTAATAATCCTACCTAATATTTAATATTTTTGTCCTTGGATTTTAACCTATGCCTATTCTGTTGTTGAATTATTGGTCCCCACGTAGCCCCGACCATCTATGGACTGATCGAATTACCCAACCTAGAGTAGGAAAGATGTATCTGATTATTACTCTTCAAATAAATAATTAATTTTATTAAATAAAATTTCTAAAAGATAGAAATTTGAAGCGAAAATTCTAATTATATAAATTGGTGTTGAATTATCCGAACGAAAAAAATCGTTTTTTATTATTTAAATATATTATCATAGCTTAGTAGTGGAATGTCACTAAAGTTGCTTTCAATTATAAATATATAATTTTTAAATTTAATATTCTCGACGAAAATGACATTTTTTTCATTTTAAAAAAATAATCGGGGTTGATTACTTTTAATTTATATATTTTATTTTGCACTTTTTCTAAAGTGTATTTTTCGTCAAATTAAAAGATTATTGTTTAAAGGGATTTAAAATAATAAAGTTTCAATCAACCAAAAATAAAAAGTCAACAGATAAAAAGAAAAATATGGTGGGTCGGTTCTCTGCCTCAGTGGTTCGACAAGGCATTAAAATTAGACCGGGTTTGGTTTGGTTTGGGTTTGGGTTTGGGTTCGGGTTCATTTACTGCTATAATAATTGCAATAAATTAAAGCAGCCGACATAATATTAGGTTGACCCACCAAACACGACTCAACGTGCTTAAATATATGGAGTGGAGGATCTCTTAATCTTACACACTGATGCACACTACTAACCTCAATTATGCCAATCAGCTTTTACCACGTGGCGTCTGTGTTGTGTGATGGCTCAACTGTCACATTTATATACAGAATGAAATGTTATTCACATTTCCATTTTTTTTAATTATTTAATCACCAACTTTAAATTAATAATATAAAGTAATTTCATTCCATTTTGTCCCGAAAGTCCAAATTCAACTCATCGACCTCGACGCAATGCTTAGGGCATCTCTATTGTCGGCCTCTCGAGATCGCACACATCATACACGTCTTTAACTCACGGTAGGTATTGTGGTTTAATTTAGTCTAATTCATTTTGAATCTAATTCGAACAAATTTATGGTTTCGTTGCGAAAAATATAAGATGTATATTTTTTTTTTTGTTCAAATTTTGACAAACCTCGACTTTGAGGCCATTGGGTACATGTAGCTATGGCACATGTAGCTGTGTTATTAGTTTATATATATATATATATATATATATATTCAATAATAAAAGTGAGTGATTATTTGAAATTTATAATTATAAAATTAATTGTAGACATGGCACGAACACTCAACCGACTTTTTAATTTTGAAGTTTATTAAAAGATGGTGTGACCACTAAAATTGAACATCCTACAAGATAATAGGTACTTTTATATATTAAATCATATTGAACTAACAACAATAAATGCCTTTTAAGTTGGTAGAGTGGTAAGGACATTAATTTTAATGCCTATCGTGAGGGTTGAAAGAGAAACGAGGTTATAGGACCAACATGAACTACGGCTCGAGTTGTTTCATGAGTTTAGAAAATAATATACCAAAATTTATATTTGGTTTGTTTTACCCTTAAATTTTAAATAGACAAAATTAATAAAAATATTTTTTTGACTAACATTAAAAATAAATAATAATTAAAAATAGTTAAAATTTTAAAGATATTAAGTTAAATTTTAAAAGTTTTTAGTATGTAAAAATATTTTTTAATCTTTTAATGAAAATTTGAATATTCTACTTTTTAAAATACTTTTCAAAGTTTAAAATAAATTTTAAACAAATTATTAAAAGTTGTCTTCCCAAATATATTTTTTTAATTTTTTTAAAAATTAAAGGATATTATTAAAATTTAAAAATTTATTACGTTTTTTTTAGATAAAGTATAAAATTTATCCATATTTTTATTAATTTAATATTTTAAAAAATTATTGTTAACTTAATATTTTAAATAATTATTATTCAATGATAAAAGTACAGAATTGAAGAGAGAAAGAAAAGTAATAATTACTTGAATTATTGTGCAATTAATTTAATTTTTAAAATCTAAGTAATCAATTAATTATCAAGTTAACATTTTAATAAATTAAATGATTTTTTTTTTCAGAAACAAAAAATATATAATAATTTAATATAAAATTTTATAATGTGCGGTATAAAAAATAGTTGATATTTTAATATGTTTATTTTAGCTCCAATTTTTAAAAATAACTACAAATTTCCATTGATAATTAAATATTTAATATTTCAAACATTTAAATCTCAAATCTTTAATTTTTATATTCATAAAAATAATATTATCCAATAAATTACATATCAGTACAGTCAGCAGTGAGTTAAATTTAGTGTGTTTTTTCTGACGTGGCAAAACAATTACTTGTTTTTTAAGAAACGAATTCCTTTTATCATATAATGACTGCTAATAATAATTAAATCATAATCATAATGTTTTTGTACTTTAAATCAATTAAATTTTTTATATTATGCTAAAAAAACAGTTTAAAAGCCCTATAAATACATAGACTCCCTATAATTTCGAAGTTCCATTAATATAATTATTATTATAATATTCTGTGTTATTATATATATATATATTTTTTTTTATTTATTTTTTAAAAATTTTGACGTACAATAATTGGTTCTGTGTCCTCAGACAGATAATAAATAATATTTTTGGGGACAAAAAACGTAATGATATTTTCGTTGAAAATAAAAAAAAAATGGTAATAAAAAAGAAAAACACAAAATAAAAAAGTTATTTGGAAATTGGCATCAGAATTCTGTGGTGCACGTGGCGAGACAGGAAACATTACCCTTAATTATTGTGCCATGCAGAGGCTGTCGGGATTTGTACTCCACGCGCCACCGCTAGTCTCTCACTCAATACCATTAATATTATATCAATTTATTAAATTACAAATAAATTAAAAAAAATGTTAGTTTTGTAAACTTCTAATTATATTAATTAAACTCATTTTAAAAAATTAGGTAATATGAAGATATAAATTGATTTATTTATTTGGGCTGCAATGATTAGATGGGCCCATGGGAAATAAATATGGGCTTGACATATTCAGCCCAATACCAAAGGTGGCTAACGTGGTTGTTTAACGAAAGCTATAGCAAAGTGTATCACATGTCGTCTAAGTACGGGTGGAATAGCTCATTGTGGAGAGTGCAGAACGTAGTAGGGGCATTGGTGAGTTTAAAAGGCATAAACAAATCAACCCTTTATTAGTCGGTTTGCTTGCTTGTCACATAGATCGTCTTGGGCCAGTCTCCTTCTGCGATATGCACTTAGTAGTTGTCTGACTATAGATCCAACTTCTCGAAGCGTTTATTGATTAGGGTGAATCAGTCTGCAATCAAAGTGGATACTTGTGATTAATGGTTAGGTTACCTTGTTGAGTGCTCGATAATCAATGCACAATACTACTTTTCTTGAATAAATCAAACAAACCGGGGCTTCCCAACAAAGGGGGTTTGGCTCGAGGCTTTCACTCGATCTTGTGGTAGACTACCCTTCTAGGCTAGGAGCACGTGACAAACTCACTCTGGGGCATGATACCCAAAAAAGAAGTTGTCTTGGTATTGGATTCGCTGTTCTGTTAGCATGAACATGAATTATATTGTATTTGCCCCCACCCGAACCATTCTTAAGACCACCAAGCCCTCTCGAATGAGTTAGACTATAGAAGCTTTCAACGTACACACGGGGAAGGGAAAAAGAAAATCTAATCTTACATTGGGCCGGCCCAGTATGATGGACATGCAATCCAACAACTGTGTTGGGCCATAGGCCCAATATAGAAAGGTGCAGAGAATCGACGTGTCGAATCCGCAGCCAAGTCTGGTGCAGATTAATCGTCGAACGTAGAAGCCAGAATCGAAGGCCTCCTTCGCTTAAGGATAAGGCGCCTGTGGTGAGCTCAAGCATTTCAACAGCCCATCGCCTCTTATTTTACCCAAATATCCCCAACTTTCCATTACCAAATTTTTCCTCCTCTCAGAAAACAAACCGATGGCCTCTCTTTCATTTGCATTCTCTCCGGCTGCCGGACGGGTGTTCGCCGCCACGGCGGCGAAGGGTGCCGGCGAAGGCAAGAAGGAAAAGGGTATTCTGGATTGGATCCTTGGAGGCATGGAGAAGGATCAGCTTCTGGAAACTGACCCTGTTCTTCAAAAGGTTGAGGGCAAGAATGGCGGCGCCAACAACGGCGGCACTGTCCGCGGCGGCAAGAAGAATTCCGTCCAAGTCCCGCCGAAGAAAAACGGCGTCTTCGGCGGTCTCTTTGCCAAGAAAGACTAACGGCGACGGCGATTCAGCCATTTTACTCATATAGTAATTCGTTCTGTTATCGGAAAGTTGTGCAATTTCAGGCCATGTCTTGTTGCCTTTATGTTACTCTGATTGGTTATTCTTCAATACTATCGTTCCATTATTAACTATTGTCAGAAATTGTTCATCTTTATATATATATACACACACATATAATAAGAATTGGTTCAACATAAAACAGCTAAATAAAGAATAATTCTTATATTTTGAAGTATAATTCTTACATTTTTAAGTATAATTCTACGTTTTAAAGAAATTGGGAACCAATGAAATCATAAAAAAAATGATTTTAGGATTTCCACTATATGGACACAAAATCCAAAAAGGATTTTCGAAAACACATCTCTTGAACGAATATTTACTAAATTATGTCAATTCAAAACATCGAAACATAAAACAGAATTCAGATTACCTACCTTATAATTATAATTATTGAGTTTTTACATTGAATAATGTTCTTTTGAAAAATAAGATTTGGTCTAAAGAGACGTAACACGACTAATAGGCTTCGATTAGTTTAGTTTGATTTTTCTAAATGAAGTAACAATAAGTAAGATCTTCATCATCATCTTCTTCCTGTGATGATGTTAATAAAATGACACACACAAAAAATTGACACTGATTGCTGAAGGAAGCTTTTCAATACTGCAATAGATCTTCTTGAACAAATATTAAATATTATATGATAGGCTTATTCCACCTACTGGCCTAAGAATCATGATAATTGATAACATCCCATCCCCCCATCCCCCTCCCCCCAAATAATTGTCTAAGAAAAAACTGAAAAAAGCATTGCATCGTGATCCACAACAATGCTAGCAGATATTTGGTGAACACACAGGCATGTATATACGCATTTTGGGAAGAAAAACTTACAAGAATTGGTGTGAGCTAAGACGAAGAGTTGATGTACTTGATGCAGTCCTCCACAGCCTCTGTTCTATGTGAATCAATGGCGGAGACAGGCAGTGGTTTTGAATTGGCGATGGACACCACGGCTGGAGCAGCAGTTTGTTCATGGCGGGGTTTTCTTTTCATGCCCATCAAATGCCAAGCTCGGGTCACCTTATCAGCCAGGTGTTTCAGAAAGCTCAGCGGAGAGAATTGCAGCCCTTTAAGTGATCTAAATCTGCACTTTTGAAAAGACCCTCTGGTTTGCTCAGTTCTGTTGCTTGATTGCTCCATTGTTGTCGCCATAGAATTAGAAGAAGGCCTGAGACTAGAAAGAGAAGCTGGATGAGAGAGAGAGAGAGATTAAAATGAATTGAAATATCAAATAGAAAAAGAGATGTAAACCCAACTGAAAAATGCAGCCTGCCCACCCCTCCTAGCGTTCTTAAGCAAACCCAAGAAGGCCCTGTTGTTTCTTTGCATTAAATCTCTATCAACCAACCAACAAAGTGAGAGTCATTCAATATAGTGGCTAACCCTTTTTTAATCATACAATCTCAACTGTTAAATACTTGATCCAACAGCCAAAGACATATTTAACTTTCTCCGGATGTCAAGATAAACAGAGAATATAGAAAACTCTGCACGCATGAAGTAGGTACAGGTAATGGTAGAAAGTGACATTTTGACATCAAATCATAGATAAAATCACAAATATAGCAATAATCATTTCTTCCTCTCTACAACATTTTAATGGACTAAATTGCTGGCAATGTTAAACTACTGAATATAGCTAGCAAGGTAGATTGACTCCAATATAGCACTTTAAATGAGTAAGTTTAGGAAAGAGAATATGCCAAGGAATACAGAGTTTGATTTGTCTATCTTTTCCATATTCTTCTTTCTGAAGAACAATTCTTTCTCTACCATTCACAAGTTTGGAACATATGGAATAGTGGAAACCGACTAATGAATCCAAAAGGAAGCAAAGTCAATATTAAATAAGGGAAAGACAGAGAAAAAGAAATGATGAAAGGCTCAAAAGATTCTCGTTTCAGTCTTCAGATAAAGGAAAAAGGGAATTTCTAAAGCTAAAATGTCCATTTAAGAAGAAAAGGGCTTTGAGCAGAGAATTACATCTACTTAGTACATAAAGTTGTTCTTATTTTATCAAACCTTTCTGCAGCATTCTTTGGTGGCGATGCATCATAATTCCTATCAAAATATATAATATAGGCATTCATCAGACAAAAAGACTGAGTTTGTGTTCTTAGCAATGATGATAATGGTGTATGGGTGATGATGAGATAATTTAAACTTTTGCTCAGAACTCGCAATAAGAGTTGAAGCTAACCTCTGATGCCGGTAGAGCCCTTAACCAGCAGAGTTTATTAGTGTGGTATTCTGTCGCCTGTAGTATTGAGTCGTTTTTCGACATAACAAACCGTTCTGCTCCGTAGAAAACCAGGGCGAGTTTCATCTGATGGCAGTTTTGCCAGCAGCTAAGCAAATTCAGAATTCCTTCAAGGAACCAACTTCAGATAATAGTGTCATCATTTGGCTTTTAGGTACAAAATGTCTGGTTTGATTCTAAACGTGAACCGTCTTTCGTTGCTTTTAACTTCAAATCATTTCCCTTCCTTCTTTATCAGAACATGAAATAATAAGAAACATTAGCTCAAGCCAAGTAGATCTTGATATGCTAAGCAAGGTGCCGATAAACAGGTAACATAATCCAGCTACTATAACTCTTATTTTACATTTGATTCGAGCACAAACATGAATATCCTACTGGAAGAGATTCAGTTCCTGTCATTTATAACAAACAAAATTTCCCCATTGTCACCAATCACATGATCCAAAAATTGTCTTACTTCATCAATATCCTTAAACGGATGAGGAGCAAGCAGATCACTGTCCAAATTATACCACAATTCGTTTATCTTTCCCGGTGTATCCCAGTGCCTACTATTCCAAATGCCATCAAACCATAACTTCATGAGTAGCCTCAGGCCCATCCAAATCGATTGAAGAAGCTCTATTTCGATGGTTATGTCATAATTTCCAGTTACTGTGTTGTGATGAGGCTTAAAGACAAATGATAATGGTGTCCAAGGTTCTTTGTTTGGCTCCTCGAGCACCAGTTTTTCAGCTGTTGCATTTAAGTTGGCTCGAGTAAATGCATCATTTTCCTGTTGTAAGAGGCGTTTAAATGTTGATTAACGATTTAACAGTAAGAAGACATTGAATTACAAAAGGAAAGCAACAAATCGTGAAATAGTGAGACGATAAGTTCGAATTTTGAGACTCTATGCACCGTAATCCTTTCTTAATGACGAAAAAAACAGTATAATTCCGTTCATCTGCATCTTAATTACATTGCAAATCATAAATTCCAAGATTGAACGAGTTTTTTCATCGCAACCAATCAGAGAGCGTTCAGCAACTTTTCCACAGTCAAACATTCGATAGTGAAGGTACCTGAAAAAGGTTGTTGAGCGCGTGCAAGAGGCAGAACTGTAGTTTTTGCCTCTCGTGATAAACTCGACAATCCTCGCTCGTCATCCTCTACAACTTAGATCTCAAATCCTCAGCCTGAACTCGCGTAAATTCCAATTTCAGAAGCACGCAGACCTCTGAATCTAGGTTAAGAATTAGAACTGGAGCATTGGCTGCGTTGACGACGAATGCAGGCCTTCGAGAATCGTCGGAGATGGAAGTGCTCGGAATTACATTTCACCGACGGAGTACCTTCGCCATGGAGAAAGCTTATGCCGCCGCGAACGACGGACAGGAGGACGACGGTGGAGTTCGACTTCAAGCCTGCGTTTCCGGAATTTGCTGTTCGATGCCGCCGGTTTCTTTTGATTTACTTCTCAGCTTAAAATCTCATTTACTTTTCAAATTTATTATTTTTATTAAAATTAATTAAACAAGAACCATAATTTTTATTTAAAAAAAATACAATATAGATTTATTTTTTTTTTAAAATTTTTTTTTAGAAAATTAAATAATAAAGTAAATAATGAAAATAGTATTTTTAATATTATATTATATTTATTTATCAAGATGGATGTTGTGAAATTACAAGCAAAATTTATTAATAGTTACAAAAATTAGAAAATTGATCTTATTAAAAAAAAAAAAGGAAAATAATTTTTTTTAAAGAAAAAATAATAATAAATATATTTATTTTTTTTAAGGTGAAAAGGGAAGAGTAAGCCGTTATTTTCCTATTTGCCATTGATACCAGCGGGAGTGGATAACGAAAGCCATCTGTAGAACCCAGAGAGCACCTCAAAGCTTCTTCAACCTCACCTACAATGGCGGCCTCCACCGCGCCATCGTCGCTCTCTTTCTTCTCTTCATCGATCTTCCTTTCATCGGCCAACCAAAATTCTAAGCTCTTTTGCAATTGGAAGCCCAATTCCTTTAAACCCCAATCCAAGCCCTTATCGATCTCCTCCCAGCTCGCTACTCTTCCAGTCCTCTCCTTCACCGGAGAAAAAGTAGGCGAGACCGTCCTTGACCTCAAGTCTGCTCCACCGGAAACCGCCCGCGCCGTCGTTCATCGAGCCATTATCACTGATCAACAGAACAAGCGCCGTGGGACCGCCTCGACTCTTACTAGAGCTGAGGTTAGTGGAGGCGGCAGAAAACCATACCAGCAAAAGAAAACTGGGAAGGCCCGTCGTGGTTCGATGCGTACTCCTCTCCGGCCTGGCGGAGGTGTGGTTTTCGGGCCGAAACCTAGGGATTGGTCCATTAAAATCAACAGAAAGGAGAAGAGACTGGCGATTTCGACGGCGGTGGCTAGCGCGGCGGTAAATACGATAGTGGTGGAAGATTTTGGTGACAAATTCGAGAAGCCGAAAACTAAGGAGTTCATTGCTGCGCTAAAGAGATGGGGAATCGATCCTAAGGAGAAATCCTTGTTCTTAATGACGGAGGTTTCTGATAATGTGCGTTTATCCAGCCGCAATATTGGAACACTGAAGTTGTTGACGCCGAGAACACTGAATTTGTTCGATATTTTGAATTCTGATAAGTTGGTTTTGACGCCGGCGGCGGTGGATTATCTGAATGAAAGATATGGAATCAATTACGAAGAAGGAATTGAAGACGAGGAGGAGGAAGAAGAAGAAGAATTAGAAGGCGAAGAAGGTTGATTTTCTTGCTTTGAAAACTTTAGTTTTGCTTAGTTCCACATTCAAACCATGAATTAGCCTTCTTGTTCTTGACAACTTAGATTTATGCTATGGATTCTGATTCTGATACAGACAATAGTCTGCTTACTTGCAAATGGGTTCTGCATTTTCATTTTGTATAATGGATTTCTAACTCTCTTTAGTGTTCTTAGGATATGATTTTAGTGAAATTGATAAGATTACAAGTGATTTATTCAAGTTCATCTTCAACATAATCATTTTAATGTCTTGTTTACACTTTTAAACATGATTTTCATACCATCAAAACTTGGTTTTGAATTATTAGCAACATGATTTTGAGTGATTTTGAAAGTCATCTATGTTAGAAGTTCATAGACTGAGATTGTAATTCTTCCACCATTGAGATCATCTTGTTGTTCCTTACACTGTTTCACATCAAATGCACAACACAAACACATTGAAGTTCATAGAGTGAGAGAGGGAGAATGCAATTCTTCCATTGATGCCTTCTTCACTTCTTAAAACAGGGCTGGACGCCGGTGAGGATTTGGATGCAGCGGAATGATTCTGCCATGAACGAATCGGCGAAAGCTTCGGCATGTTAGCTTGCAGGCTTGAATGTATTCTTTTTTTGGTTCTTGTTCACACTCAAAGGTATCTCCTTCTTCTCTTTCCTTCCAATATCCTTATGTATTGTCCGTAGTTGGTCTCTTCAAGAACAATCTTTGATTCTTTAGGAACTTGCATTCTGTTATGTCTTCCCTGTACTTTCTTCCTAAGTTAGGAGCTTCCATTAGAACTTTACATCTCCTATGGCAGCTCCGTCGTCGATAACTTGTGAAAATGCTTAAAGAGATAGAGAACAAAGTTCTTGAAAGATCATCTAGACTTGTGGAGTAAATCTAGAGTTGAATTGAATGGTTCTTCTGATCTTAAAATGTTCTTTAACTAACCTGATCGCTGTGGAAATATGATTGTGTGGTGCCCTTTCAGCCTGGGAAATTCTACTTTCACTTGGTTTTTCTTATCAATTATTTAGGATTTTGTACACCGCTAGCGGATATTATCCACTTTAGCCCATTACATAGTTACGTATTGCCGTCAGCATCACAATTTTAAAACACGTCTGTTAGGAAGAGATTTCCACATCTTTATTAGGAATGTTTCGTTTCCCATTCCAATCGACATGGATTCTCACAATCCACCTCTTTAGGGGTCCAACATCCTCGTTGGCACACCGTTTGGTCTAGTACTAATACTATTTGTAACAGCCCAAACCCATTACCCAGTATTGTCCGCCTTAGCCCATTACGTATCGTCGTTAGCCTCACGATTTTAAAATGTAGTATGTTAGTGAGAAGTTTCTACATTCTTAAAAGGAATGTTTCATCCCCTCTTTAACCAATATAGGATCTCATATTTTTTTCTTCTTTTGGCTTGAAGAATAATGTTGCATCAGGCTGTAGTTATAGTCTAATCGTTTGAAAATTAAGCCTATAAATACTACCTATACTCGTGGCTGGGTTGTCGGGTTCTATTACCCGAACCCAATTTGTTTTCCACCACCGAACCACTCCCTTTAAGCCATCCTCTCTCATCACCACGGCCGTCTCTGACCATCGGAAAGCTGCTACCTCTTCCCTAACAGCTTCCACAACCCTATATGAATACCCATCCTTTGCCAAATATAGAATGACTAGCATTTGAAGCTTAACAATACATTACAAACATTTCAACATCTTTGATATGCTACATAATATATAAAAACCCCATTTTATGTACATTTTTGTTGTCTGTGGTTTGAAAACCTTAGAAACGATCAACATTCATAATAGGTTGTTGTTTGAAACCTAAACGTCGATGGACGTTGTTCAAAAAACTTGGAATCGTTGTTGCTTGCTGCTGTTTGAGGTCAGTGGTCGTTAGTCACTATTGTTAATCTCTAATAGGTAGTTTCTAGTAGGTAGTCGTTTTGGTCGGTGTTGGACGTCTTCGTTAACCATGGATCCATCGCAAAGACTGCATATGTGAAGTATATTTTAAGATTTGTCACAGACTAAGGTGAAGATTTAAGTGTCATGCATTTAGATTTGATTTTCAAATAAATCCCAAGTTAAACAATATTGTATTTTTTTTTTCAAATTTAATTGTCAGAATCCTTGTAAATTCAAATCTTTTTTTTGATAAATATATATATATTTACAAAAAATATTTTCAACTTTCAAAAATTTCAATAATACCTTCTAACTTAAAAAAATAAAAAATAAATAATTACCATTAATTTTCAATAGAAAGTATTAATATTTTATTTGAAAAAAAAAAGACATTTCAAAAAACATTTGAGTGGTAAGTTTTCCGTTACTTTTTAGAAAATTTATTTTTAATTTTTCTTTATTTATATAAATAGCAATTCGCATATTTTATAAATTAGCTTAAGGTGGATCACCCATTAGTTAATCAATATAGATAAATAATTAATCAACTATAAAACGAATTTATGGTTTTAAATAGTTAAAATATAATTGAGAATAATTTAATATAAAATTTAAATTTTTGTGACTTATTCGACAATTTTGCAATATTTTTTTAATTATTTTACAATGCCACATCAGCATTTCGTTAATATTTCGTTAATAATTAATAAAAAAAAATTGATGAGATGGATAAGCATGCAACTAAATACAAAACTCAAAGACCGAATGCAACCTAATCCAAAAACGGCACATATAGTGACGAATTCCACAAAATCACCATTAATTTACAAAAAAAACTCAAAGAACTAATAAAAACAAAGCATCTCGAAGTTCATAACAAAACAAGGAAAAAAAAACATTAGATTTCGATGAGCCCAATTAGAGAAACGAATCAAAGCAACGAGTGACAAAGAAAACACTGCAAACACACGGTATCATAATCCCGGAAGAACGAAATCGAACAATCGATATCTATAGAGCTCTTTTCAAGGGTCCCATTCTTCTTGCATTCTCCCACATCCCAACAGTATTTTAAAGACCATTTCCCCCTTTTTCTCCCCCCACCAAAATTTCTTTATTTTTTTTATTTAAAAAAAAAAAAAAGAATCAGAATATTTCAATGACCGAAAGCTTGAAATTTTGATTATGTATTTGTGGTAGCTACTTAGCTAAGGCTATAACCATTCCCAAAAAAAAAAAAAAAAAAAATTAATAAAATAAAATAAAATAAAGTTAGGGGCAAGGTTCTTTTAAAAAAAATAAAAAACAAGTTGCAAAAAAATAAAAAATAAAAAAATAAAAAAATAAATAAAAGCACTTTTCGAAAAAGATGGTGGCTAGTTTTTGTCACTTACTTCTCAAAAGCTTGTTGCTTTGTAATTCTTTGGTTAAGTGGTGGGGGATGAATATACCATTTTCCCATCATAATTGTCCACCAATCATATTCTTTAAAACCCAAAAATTATTTTAAAAAATAAAAAAGTTAAAAAAATATATATATTTTTTTGTTGACTCGTTCGTATTGAATTATTATTTTTCGTGCTTTTGTTCGAGTATGTTTAATGGGTTAGGTATCGAAATTGCTGGTTCGAGAATTAGGGTTTTCACGGAACGTTATTGGAAATGTGCTATGATTTGTTGCTTTATACAGAGTTAGTTTGGAGATTTAGAATAAGCAAAAATGAAGGTTTGTCGTGATCGGGATGAATAAGAGGTTATGAGCTCGAAAACTTTGACTTTTTTTTTTATAGCGGTTGACTATTTTAAAGGGAAAAAAGTGATAGAGGTTTGAAACTAATCACGTAAGATTAACGTTAGAACTTTGACTTTTTTCATAACCTCTCTCCATTCAATAGAGCGTTTAGATTATGAGAGAGGTTTGGTTTGAATGATACCAACAATGTGTAGCATTGTTGGACTATGTATACCAACAATGTGTAGCATCGTTTTCGGTGGTTCAATCATAAGAATTTTAAAATTAAACGTGCTTAGCTAGATGCAATCTAAACATGCTAAAAGAACCCGTGTTGATTTCTAGGAATATTCGGTACTCTTAGACGAAAAACATGTCGTAGGAGAATGTCGGGGTCATCAGATGTTGAATTCAAAACTAATGTTGGTCATGTTGCATGAGAATATCGAGACTATTATTTATTTTTTTAATTTCTTTATTTTTTATTTGTTCACATGAAAATTAGAAGAAAAATAGATTTTTTTTTAAAAATAAAAAAATGAAAAAAATCATAGAAAAAAAGAACTCTTGAAAGCTAAATCAATCAAATCACATGTTTTATTACACTATTTTCACCTGTTGCTTTGTCTGTGTCTTTTTGTATTTGAAAAGAAAGTTCAAAAAATAATTTATTTTTCCTTTTAAATTAAATTAAATCCCAAATAAAAATTAAATAAATAAAAAACATTCTAGGAAATTCAAATTCAAACCTGAAAATCCACAAAATTTGTCTCAAAACATATGAACTCACAAATGAATAACAATAATGCTTAAAAGTTTATACACAATCACTGATATCACCATAGATCCTTGCTTTCTTTCCTCTTCGGTTTCGGTATTTCAATTGTCTCGACACTGAAGTACGACTGTTTGTCGAGTCAGAACGGTTCGAGTCAATGCTTAGTTGGTGAATGTGGACAAGAATCCTATCGAGAGAAACACAGATAGCTTCTTCCTTGGACGATTTACGAGCTTGACGGCCTTTTGGTTTATCTCTTCGGCCTGAACGGGTTGAGAGCATTTTTCATTGAATAGGCAAAGCATATTCTTTTGCCCATCTCTAAATGCTTTGTTCCGGCATGAAATTGGAAGCCCCCAATGGAAAAGGCACAGTGAAAATGAAATGGACTGTGTTTTAAAGTACATGACCAGATATCTCCATAAACTACGGGGGAATTAAGAGTACAGCTATACTAAACGATAGCTCAAAGAGAACAATGAAAGAAGAAAAAACGCTCAATTTTCAACTATCCATGAGGAAAGTAATGGCTAGCCTGCATCTGAAAGATCATGTTTTGGGGTCCAATGAAGGCTTCATTGCCTGCAACTTTTTGCAGGTGATGATGCTCCGGTAGTCCAACGTCGCCGTAGGAGCTCGCCCCGAACACGGCTGGGGACATGAAAATGTTCCCGTTCGAGTGGTTGAAGACCACGGTTGCTCTGCCACTGTCGTGTTGTTGTTGGTAGCGGTGATGGTGATGGTCCCATTTGAAGGTGTTTTGGGGAATGGATGACGATGAATTCGGTTGGCGGGGGAGCACAGCTGCATGCTCCGGTGATAACGATGACTTCTTGTTTACGGGTGACGGGCTTCTCGTGTCGTTGAGATTAACTGTAGTTATATCGTGGATGCTTGCTCTTCGTTTGTCCTTTCCACCCGAGAGCTGCCGAATGAAGTACTTTTGAGCATGACTAGCTACTTGCGTTGGAGTTCTCGTTACCACGACATTTCTCGAGATGTTCCTCCAGTCTCCTTTACCATATTTTTTCAACCCCATCAAAAACAGCCTACAAATCAATCAATTACAATACCTCAACAGAATTCCACTAAACAAAAGTTCAAATTCATATGGTAAAATCATCACTCACTTATGTTCTTCCTCCGTCCATGGAACTCCCTTCTTCCTCTCCTGATCAGCCGAGCGCCCGGAGGATCGTTTACCGACGACGCCATACGACTGCTTGAATCCGTCGTAGCTATGGCTGCTAACCCAATCTAAAGTAAATTGGGAGGTATCATAACCAGGAATTGGAACCAAGCCAGCTTCAATACTACTAACATCAGCTTCCAATTCCTTATACTGTCGAATCACATCCCCAACTTTCTTTCCAGGGATCATCGAGGCGACTTTCTGCCACCGGTCGGGCGTGTCGGTGTCGTAGATAGCTAGAGCATTCTCAAACATTTTGTTCTCAGCTACAGTCCATCTTGAGCTCTTGCTATCACTGCTGCCGGAGCTCCAACTCATAGTGGAAACAAGTGAAGGAGGGGAGAGAATTTCCATTTCCCACTTCATGAAACACAATTTAGAAACAGAATTCAACTCAAACAGATTGAAACAAACAGTTATTCATGATGGGAACGTGAAATTCTACAAGAGAAACAGAAGAATTGTTAAATAGATGAAGAACAGGAAGAACAGGAAGAACACAGAGAGAAAAATTCACTAAATGTGGAGAGATGGAGGATATTTCCGAATAGGAATTTGACAATAAGTGTGTTAAATCAACAAGCATTTGAACGAATCAGAATAATTTTACTCAGAGGAATCTACAAAAAAGAACAAAATCTCAGCCCAGTTTTGTTCGTTCTATTCAAATTTCAATCGAATAAACCCTAAAAACAAGAACAACAACGCCACTTTCAAAACTGCAGTGGGGCAAAATTTTCCCACCATCCAAACAGAAACGATACAACAATTTTCCGGGAAAAAATCTGGGGAGTCACAGAGGATGAATCGATCCAGAGGATGAACTGAACATCGGATATCGAAAAGAAATCGAGAAATGAAAAGGAAAATGGAAGAATGAATCGAAAAGAAAGCTTAAAAAAAGCAGAATCCGTGTGAACTCTAAGCTGTGGAAAAATTAAAAGTAGAAGCTCCAAAAGCGCAGCAATGGAGGAAGGGAGCTTCCAGGAATGAATATCTCAATTGAACGAAGGAAAAAACAGAAACAGAGAGTCAATAAAAGGAAGAAGAGAAGTGCAACGTGGATGGATCTGATTGGTGGATGAATTTATTACGTGGATTTTTCATCTTATTAAAAAAAATGAAAATTTCCATGTCTACTATCAGTATAAGCTTTCCTTCCTGCTTTCAAGAGGCCTCGAAACAATGAAGATAATATTTCTCATTTATAAACCCATGATCTTCCACTAAATTAGCGAAGGTGGGACTCACTCCCAACAATAATCCTCAACGCTCACACCGTCTTGTCTCGATGTTTGGTTCAACGTTTGTCGAAACTTCATTTCGTTAGGTTATCGAGATTAGAAATTTGAACTTTGTGGTTTGAAGAGCGGGTTTCGTAGTTATTATATAAAAAAATTAATCTCTTTTTATAAAGAATTTAAATAATTTAAATTCGAATATTATTTTATTATATATTTTTTTTAAAAATATAATGAAATAATTAAACCACCATGAAGCAACAAAGACCTAATAATTAGGTTAAAATAATTTGAAATAACCATTCGTGTGTTGTTATTTTTATTTTTATTTTAAAAAAAATAGAAATAAATATTTACAAGAAGTGACAATAGATCCAGACCAACGGCTGTGATTGATGTCATGCAAGTTGATAGAGTGGGGTCGCCTGTAGTGTTGGAAGTGGACCAGCCTTTCTGATTGGGCAGTCTTCCACATAATTGTGACTACTTAAGGGTTACGATCTCGAGAATGTTTCTCATCCAACGGTGGATGTCACTACACGTGTCGTTTATTCATTGGGCAAATGGGGAAGCACAATGAAGTCCAAAACAAATGGTCCAGGTAGATCATGGTGACCACCAATGCGTGTGCCCCACGCAGGTCACATGAACTCCCAATTATGCCAGCGTTTGTATTGGATCAATTGTGCGCACATAATTGTAGCCGGGACCAACCAACCAACCAACCCCCGTCTCCTTAATTTTACCATTTTACCCTTTGTCTCGCTCGGGAATTGAATCTCGAACTTCGTCTCACCGTAGAATGCCACGTGAATAAAATTATTTGGAATGAAAGTTCCAAATTTTCATCAAAGACAGAACTGATAGTTCACTCATGAACTGGAATAATTAGACATGGTTTATATAATCTAAGGAAGACAGTTTATACCCTTGTTTGGATCGAAAATTAATAATAATTATTATAAAAATAAACTTGAAGGGACATGTGTGGCGGCGTGTGGAGCACGAGGCTCATTCTGTATGTACTGTGCAAGCAAGGGCCAAGTGGTCCCCTTTTGATGTGATCTATGGTTCTACTGTAATTATCTCTGTCGGGTAGTACATTTATGCACATTCAACATAAATGACTTTACGGTAAAATTTTCGAGGTTAAAATAAAAGTTATTGCCTATTAATTATTATTATTATTATTATTATTTTGTTTATTTAATATTAAATAAAGTAGTTAGGGTAGGAAATGGTTTGGAAAGGGCATGAATTAGTTAGTAAAATATGGGAGAGTTAGCCAAATTATTAATTATAAAAATGAATCTATGATGAAGGCCGAGGCGTGAGGTGAAAGGCACTAATTTAGTGATTAATTTAATTTACTTTTCTCATACCTTGCAAATGATTGGTCCCATCTTATTCCAATTTGTTTCATAATTAGGGCTCAATGCTTTAACTTAATTAATATATCCTCCTTACACTTGTAATAATTAAATTAATTTAATTATTATGTGTCGGCTGAGTTAACACTCGAACTATGCACATTTGAGCTGAAGTGAGCTTAGTTTAGTGGTATAGTTCGGTTGGTACTGGTAATGTAACAGTCTAAGCCCACTGCTAGTGGATATTGTCTTGTGATTCTTCCACTGCTAGTAGATATTGTCCTATTTGGGGTTTTCCTTCTAGGCTTCGCCCACCATCGCTAGCAGATATTGTCATGTCCTGTGCTTCTCCCACCGCTCGTAGATATTGTCCTATGTGGGTTTTTCCTTCTAGGCTTCGCCCACCGCTAGCATATATTATCCTGTCCTGTGCTTCTCCCACCGCTCTCAGATATTGTCCTATTTCGGCTTTCCCTTCTAGGCTTCCCTTCGATGAAGTGATTTCCATACCCTTATAAGGAATGTTTCATTCCCCTCTACAAATCGATGTGAGATCTTACAATCCACCCCGCTTGGGAGCCCAGAGTCTTCGCTAGCAAACCGCTCAATGTCTAGCTCTAATACCATTTGTAACCGCCTGAGCCCACCGCTAGCAAATATTGTCCTATTTGGACTTTTCCTTCTAGGCTATCCCTCAAAGTTTTAAAACGCGTCTATTAGAGAGAGGTTTCCACATCCTTATAAGAAATGTTCGTTTTTCTCTCCAACCAATGTGGGATCTTACAGATAATGAGCTTATATATACTCACGAGAATAACTTTTTTTTTCTTGAGGTGCACGCCCTCCATTAAAATCGGAGATTCTGTGAACTATGGTATAAAAATAATTAATTTATCAACTTATTAAGCATAAAAAAAAGTTTTTTTAGAGGTTTCGATCTTTTAATCAATAGTAAACATTCAAACCAGTTGATCTATGCTTACATGGGTGAAAACAATAAAGAATATTATTATTATAATATATATATATATATATATATATATATATATATATTTTGATTTAAAAGGGTGTGAATCACATCTTTGAAAGAACCCTAAAAATGATGATCATATGGTGTTGCCTTGCCATTGGATGATATTGTTTTTTGTGAAAGTTAAGGAAAAAAAAAAAGATGAAGATTAAAGTAAAAGTGGTTAAAATCATAATCTTTGAATTATCTTGACGCATAATGCAAAAGTTTTTAAATTAGTGGAATTGCTTTAATTTTCACGAATATCCAATTTTACGCGTTTGATTACCGAATTTGGTTCGGATGCTTTTAAGTTGCGGTTTTTTTTTTTTCTTATATATTTTTTAAATAACGAAATATAATGAATCGATGACATGTGTTTAATGAAGATAATTGTGCTCGTTTGTGGGTATCGTCTTCATTTTTTAAAACACTGTCAGACAAGTAGACAACATGGTCTTGTTGTAGAGGAATGTCGGGACCATCTAGTGTTAAATCTTAATTCTAAATCCCAACATGAATCCTAGGAATAGAGCAATCTTATGTTGGGTGATTTTCTAGAAGTTTTCTTAAAAAAAAAAAACACGTGAGTGATGACAAAACATCGTGAAATGACGTGTTTGTTTGTGTGGATAGTTCTCACTCTTAGAAGTACTTTAAGACAAATGGGTAACATCGCAAGGCAATGTCGGGACCATTTTAGGTGTTGAATCTAATTCTAAATCCCGGTCTGATATTTAAGTATTGAACAATCTTATGTTGAGTGACCTTCTGAAAATTTTCCTAAGAAACATGTTTGTGACAACAAAACATCTTAAAATAACCCGTGTTGATTTGTCTGGATAGTATTCGTCGAGATCATTAGAAGCTGAATTTGAATTCTAAAGACGGGTCTAACTCAATCAAAACTAATCCCTTATTATAATATCATAAATGACTACTAAGCTTTGATTTGATCAATTCACGTCGAATTAAACTAACTTTTTTTATTATTTTTTAAACATGAGACTTATTCATAGATTCTCATTTATCCATTTCTCACTCTCGTGTGAAACAATAATAATAATAAATAAAATTATATCATAAAATATTTATTTAATTTATTCATTGAAATGCGAAAAGAGAGTTTAAAACTAATAAATAAAAATTTATAAAATAAAGAAAAAGAAGAAAAGTGAAGCTTGAAATTAAAATATTTAATAATAGAATAAAATATACAAAATTACAGATAATTTAATTCACAATAATATGTTGGAGTCCTCTGGTTTGTCTGTCTTTTTACGCTCAGCCAATTTAATATATATATTAATTAAAAAAAAAAGAAGCAATTTATTAATATTATAATTATGAAGAAGACAAAATAAATAATTTTAGTGGTTGGTGGCTGACACTTCAAAAATTGAAATCACTAAAATAAAATTAGTATTGGAAATGTGAGAATTAAATATTATTTCTTATTAAATTAATGTCACCCCAATATTCCTCTCCAATTTGCCCTTCAACTAAATTAAATTTAAAAAATTAATAAATAATAATTAAAACCTAATCCATATTTGGGTTTTTTTTCATTAATTATTTAATAAATATTGTGTTTTTTAAAAATTTAATTGTTTAAAAAATAATTAATTAATTGAAGTTTTTTTTTTTTTTTTTTTTTTTTTTTTTTTTTTTTTTTTTTTTTTT